ACATTGGCTAAGGGTCGCGCTATGTCGTGAATTGGCAGAAGTTAGAATTCATGGGCCAGCCATTGGATCGGGTCCCAGTGGCTTAATGGTATACGAGCTCGCCTTGTAACCTGAAGGTCCTGGGTTCGAACCCCGTGTTGTGGGTGCGTACTGATGAAGAGTCCCAAACTAGGACAAAACAGCTGGCTGTCCAGTACTCCCTGTGGTTGGTTTTCCAATGGTTCTCTACCTAATGTCAGCTCATGATGAAATCCTGTAACCAATCAACCAAATCCCTACAAACCAACACTTGGATATCATTAGTATTATTATTGGTATTATTCATTTCGCGATTCTTGATATAATTAAATTCTTTATCCGATGACTAATTGATTATTTAAGTGATGCAATTGAACCGTAATACATATGATCTTAATTTTAATCTCTCATACTCCCTCCTCCGACATATCTATCTGAACCTGACCTGAAACGCATTCACACCTTCCGATTTCCATGATTAATTCAATCTAGTTTATTTACTTACCAGTCTTATATCTCCCGATGTATTTCTAATAGTATATGTGCGTCGGTGGCACAGCGGTTAGGACTCCCGCCGACCATCCACATGGTCCGGGGTTCGATCTCCTGCCGGCGCACACCTGATATCTACGGTCGGCCTGCAACATTTTGGCTACCAATATCACATGCTGAAAATTCCATACCTGTCCCAAAACTACGGTGTGGAAACAAGCTGTAATCAAAAAATATATATACATATATCCCTGTATGTAGTGTATTCAGCTGAAGAGTTCTACCGAAATTTGATGAATTCATTAAATCCTGCTTTATTAACCTTATATTGGTGATTTATTCCCTTCACAACCTGAAATTTCTGAGTTAAAGCACTGACAGTACTGAGTATCCATAATCCCAAAGAAATGCTTCTTAGTATTCAGAATCGTATTTGTTCCTAAATATACATCTACCTTTAGGACAATTAAACATCCACAGATAAATGGGAAATTTCCATACTGAGCCATCAACAAAGAGACTTAACAGCAAAGAAAATTTCGCTTTTCCATTAACCATTTTCAAAAGAGCTGTACAGTCGTATTTATATTTAGATTACGATTTTTGTAAGGATTTACATTAATTTCAATATAGATTTCATGGATACCCATCATAGGCATTATTCCACAGTGTCGCTATATCACAATTTTATGGAAGTTAGAATTCATGAGTCATTTGAATCCAGTGGTCAGTGACCTTGACCTCATAACCTGTGTGTCAGATTTAGTCACTGGTGGGGTTTTGACCCGGCATTACTGAAGAATTCGAAACTAGGATAAAACAGATATCCAGTGCTCCACGGTTTTCAATGTTCTTTGACTGGTGCTAGTTCAAAGCATTTACAAAATCGATCAAATGCTGCTAACTATGCTCTAGTTGGACATTGAATAGTAACACTAACGTCACGTGTCTAGTCCTCCATTTGGTGCAGATCAAAATTATATCATTCAATCAAAGTATTCACTACAGTCTCACTAAAGGTCAGTAGCTAGCGCGAATGGCTCAGCAGGAACATCTCTGACTGCAGAACTGACTAACCCGAGCCCGGCTCTCAGAAGCGATATGAGTTCATTCAAGGTTGCAGGTAGGCCTTGATGAAGAGTGCCAACAATCACGAAACCCAGATCAGCCAGGTAATCTTGCCAACTGCCTCCAACCACCTAACAACTGGTAACCATGTTCTAGGAAATATATTAGCTAGGGAGCATTGTCTCAACTACATGAGGAACGGACGAGGATGTCAAATCAAGAATCGGGAAGGCGAGAAACACATTCATCAACCTGAAACCAATCTGGAAATCTTCGTCACTCAGCCTGCATCAACAACAAAATTCGGATTTTCAATACAAACGTCAAGTCAGTCAGTTCTTCTATACGGCGGGTCACAAAGAATATTTCCAACAGCCTGTTGCAGACCCTTATCAACAACTGTCTTCGTTCTATACTGAAGATCAGATGGCCGGAAAGAATCACCAACAAGAAACTATGGGAACAAGCAAAACAAGAACCAATCGCCCAACAAATATGCAGGAGAAAGTGGAGATGGATTGGACACTCGCTGAGGAGGCCCCTGGGTGACATCGCGCGTCAGGCCATGCTCGAGTGGAACCCGAAAGGGAAGCGGCGAGTGGGACGTCCAAGGGTGACATGGAGGAGATCGTGTGAAGAGGAGTTGAAACAGTATGGACTAACATGGATGCAGGTGAAAAATACAGCAAAAGACAGAAGCAAGTGGAGACGTGCAGTTGAAGCCCTATGTTCCACTAGGAACCCAAGGGAACAATAATAATAATACCAAGTGCAATCTGAAAGGGTACTTACAAGTGGATATTAAAAACTTGTTTGGTTACCTATGAAACTGGCCTATTCAGAGTCCTTTGGCAACAACATCTGAACATTATAAAAATGTTATTTTCTGTTTGGTGACATTATTTCACCATAAGATACTTTGTCAAGAAAACTCATCCAAATACCGGGTGGTATATATATATATATTTAAATTTCGGCTATCTTCTTCGCTTTCATATCCAAAATGAGTTATAAATTCAATTAAGCGATTATCCATCTTCACCACACCTACCTAACTTCCAAAAAAACAACAAATTTTCCCGGGAAATTATATCCTGTTTACAACAGATATTTAAGGGAAACAAGAAGAAACTGAAATTCAATTATAAGTAATATAGATATCCATTACTCTGAATAAAGTTGACAAACAAGTTGAAACAAAAAAGTGAACCTGACTTATTTCTGTTAAAATAAAAAGATTTTATTCATTTCTTCTGGGTTCTTCTTTAGCTGATGCTTTTTTTGACCAAAACAAAAGCAGCATTATCTGTCTTGCCGACTTCATCACCAATACACCATCATGAAATTAAGTCATGAATACAATTCGTGTTTTTACAATTCTATTCATCCACCGCTGTTTTTCTTAATATATCAGTAATTCACCCTCTAAATGAAACTGATCTAATTAATAGATTAGTTTATCAAAAAATATATATATACACAATATACAGATACATATAAATAATAAGCAATTATCTTTTATTGAGATCATTAGCGTTAAAGTTACTGGTTTGTATAGTGAACACTTTTAACAGAACTAAAACGCATACAACAATGATACGATTGAAAGACTTTAATCAGCTGTTTACAATGCCTACATATGCCAATCTTTGTTCGTTATAAGAAGAAAAAGAAAAGCATTGAATGTTCCTCTGATAGTTTAAATTACGAACAAAGAAAGCGGATATTAACACTTTTACGTTGTATTCATAAGTCTTCAAAGAATAAGTTTGAACAAAATACTCTATAAATCATGACAAATAAACCGCTGATCCCAGCGGATCCGATTTTTGGATCACTTCTATCACTCTGGCTAGTAATCAATAATTTATAACCCAACATTTTTTCTTTCTCGTGCTTTCTTAATTAACATTTATGTTATCAGGTGAATCACATATTCGTAAATATAAGTATTGCGACGCAACCGCCAGCCAAATGTCATAGACGAGTAGATCTCCTCTTACCTGACTTGATGGACCCATATGATTACCACTCCTCACTAGCACTCCAGGTAGCTTCCTGTATAGATCCAGTTGCTGGTGTGCGGCAATTCGATTGGCTACAGGTTGGATCACGATCTAACACCAGCTACAGAACCACTGAAAAACCATGGAGTAATGGACGGCTGTTTTGCCCTAGTTTGAGACTCTTCGCCAGTACGCACCCACCGGTATCCGAAACCAAGATCTTCCGGTTTCAGGGAAAGCTTGTGAATTAGGAGAAAGTGGAATCCATGGACTGCTCGATTAGGTCCAAGTGGCTGAATAGTCTACGAAGCCGCCCCGTAACCAGAAGGTCCTAGGTTTGAAACCCGGCAGATACTGCCGAAGAGTCCCAAACTAGGACGAGACAGGTTTTCAGTACTCCCTTGTTTTCCACTGGCTATCTGACTGAGGACAGCTTGTGACCAAACATGTAACTGATCAAATCCATGTAAATCAACACTTGATGTAAATATTGCAGTCCATTACAGTCTCCCATCTTCCAGTGTTATGAGGACCTTTCTTTACTGTATTACAATTTAATGCTGTAGATCTATGGTTCTCAGCAGTTGCGTTTAATGACTGATATTACCTCACAAGTAAATTAAATTAAATGTTTCAAAAGATAATTATAATATTATCCTCAGATTTTCAAGTAGTATATGGCTTTACAAAATAAATTCCTAATCTCTATCATATTAGAAGTATGAGGCCTTATTAAAGACAGAGATAATAAATTTCATAATTGAAATTGAGCGTCTGAAAGTGAAATTCTCTATGTCATATACTTAAAAGGAACATCTGTTAAGTTCGCTGAAGTTTTCCAGAATATGCAGCATTAGGTAAATTAGCTGACATTGACAAACAAAAGTTAATCAAGTGGATTATTACTCACCAGTACCATTCCCCTGAATTCTGAGAAGAACATCGGGCTCCCACTGTTCGACTGCAGTCTTCTTAAACTGGTCCAATGACTGCTTATACGGTCTTATTTCCTGCACGTGTGATCTCCTATATGTCAACTTGTCGTTTCCTATTTGGTGGATTCTACTGGATGACGTGGTGCATGATGTCACTGGAACACCTATTCAGAGTACGTCAAGTCAATCTCTATTTCCTTCTGCACGTTTATTGGTCAGTAGGTTCTTGATCAGTTCTCTGAAAGAGTTCCTTATTGCTTATCCTTCCTAGCCAACCAGTCGTCAGACCTTCAGGGTAGCGAAGGAGACAGCTGTTGATAAAAATCTCCGGTCTATTGAAATCAACTCAATTTTAAGGTTACGATATTCACATGACTGACTGTTTGGATATTAAAAACGTTCGTCAGTTATCCTTGTATCTGTAATACATAATCTTTACGTTTAATTTAATCTTTAATTTTCCCTTTCTATTGATTTACAGATTAATGAACATCTTGGACCGCTACAAATTTCACTTGGAAATATGCTAATTGATATAACAAAATTCATTTTTATATTTTTATTAGTCATTTCATCTTTTGCCTGCGGCTTACACCAGTTGTATTATTATTATCTATCGAATGATGAAGATAATCGGCCACGTGCATTCAGTTCGTAAGTTAAACCCTTTTTATACATATATGATATATATATATAGAACAAAAGGTATGCATTATGCGTTAATATGACCATTCTAAGTGTCAACAAGTAATTGAGCACTGACTGTCATTCATTCGCAATGAAAAGACAAAATATAACCACCCTAAATATCAGAAATAGAATAGGAAAAGCAAGTTAGACCTTCATTACTATAATAAGTATGAGGGACGAGGTACACATTTTCGACTTTGACATTAAATCATTTTTTGTATATGAATCAAACGCCTGTTACACACGCTACGAAGAGAATTTTCAACAAAATACTGCAGTCTATCACCAACATCTTCACCATTCTCCACCTTGATATTCAAGATCAGATGTCCAGCGAGAAAAGAATCAGCAATAGGGAACTCTGGTAACCAGCCAATCAAGAATCAATTTCCCAACAAATACGCAGAAGGAAATGAAGATGGATCCGAAATACGCTTAGCAGACAGTCGAGTGACTTCATGCGCTAGGTCCAGGACTCGGGTGAAACCAGGATTGGAAGCGAAGAGTTGGAAATGGATAGAAGCATGACATAAAGGAGATTATATGAGGAGAAAATGAAAAGATATTTCAACTAAAAAAAAACTATGGGGTACAGAATGAAATGGCGAAGTACTGTAGAAGTTGTACATTCCATTTGAAACCCAAGAAAATAATAAATAATATTATATTCATTAACACATACACACACAATGTATATACAGAAGTCTTTCCTCATTGAACGTGTGAAAACATTTATATATATGATTAAATGGTGGGGATTTAAATCCCAACTCTATTCTCTTGTTAAATTAGTCAAAACCTAATATCAAGGTAAACTGTGGGTACCGTTTACCTTGAATATAGATTTATAAATTCACTATTTTAGACTTTAATTTGTTTTCGGCAAGCTATAAATGTGATCAGTCAGATCAATCCCCATATAGCAAAAATATTCCAACAAATATATAAGTTAATTTTCGCTGAGTGCGTCGGTGGTATAGCGGTTAGGACGCTCGCCAACCATGCACATGGTTCGGGGTTCGGTCTCCGGCCGATGCACTCCGAAACCTCTCTATGCCAGTAATAAGACTGGTAAAGAGGAAAGGTTGGGCATGAGGCTAGCAACCCCATCCCGTAAAAATAAACATCACTGCTACCGAAACTTCAAGGCACTAGCTTGAAGCCCTATGTTCCACTGGGGAAAGTGAAGGAGAAAAAAATTTTCGCGGATGACTGTTTCCCTCAGTCTACTACAGAACCTAAAAGATATGACACTTTTAGCGAAAAAAACGTTTTAAACGCTTCACATTTAATCAACCACACCGAGACACCTCATCAGCGCTAACACAAAACCCAATTACCATCAACGGGAGAAATCTAGCAGAAGTCATCTGATTCACTTACTCCAACAGCTTTGCTTCATCTTCAGGAGGCATAGCTGAAGATTTCAAGGCCAGTCAGGGGTTTCATTACATTGAAATCAACGAGGAGATCTACAAAACTTAGCACAAAGGGTGAGATCAGAATTTTTAACACTAATGTCGAATTGGAAAATCTAAATGGTTCAGAAACTTGGTTGGTAAGTTCGATGAGCATTTCCAAGAGACTACTACTACTGAAGACTTTCATCTACAGCTTACTCCTTTGCTATATACTGAAGACCAAGCAACAGGCCAAAAAGTATAAGCAACGTGCAAGAAAAACAACCAATTACCTACTATACAGCAAATATGCAGGAGGACTGGACATGTGCTTTGGAGACATTCAAATGGTACTACACTCTATAAAGGTGTTCGAGAATAATCCAAATAGAGAGCGACGAGTTGGTTATCTCAGTGTGACGTGAAAAAGGTCACTGAAGGAGGAACTGAAAGCTTGTCATCAGATGTGGAGATAGTTGGTACTAATAGCAGTGAACCAAGTGCAACAGGGATGTACTGCTATCCAATTCAAAACGTTGAGGAGGAAAATAATTAATAATAATATTAACGGTAACAATATTCAGTCGAGTTTTCCCCGGCAAAACTGTTTGTTTCAAATGTAAACGCACTTTAGGCTTTTGAATTTCTGTGTCATTTGTTGTATGCATCATGGAAAATTCAATCATCAAATGAATAAATTTACCTTAAATTGTTAGCTTTAATGACTGTCTGTCAGGCAGAGTTACGTCACATTATATATTTACACACCAAACAGTATTTGCTAGATGTTGAATATTGATTCTATCCAAGTGATCACTGTTGTTGCCCAAGATGAGTCTATCATGAAGCTTCAAATGAATGTCCAACCAAGCAGCCAAATACGTATATATCTGACCTCAGTTCGCTGCTTTGTCCTCATATTACTCATTTTGTTTAATTGTACTCACGATTCAATCCCCCACCAGTAAATATTTAAAGGCATGCTTATACCACTCTTATAGATGCATCAGATGATTAACAAATCATTTACAAGACAGAATTCATCGCAGGATTATATCAGTTAAATAAACAGAACTAGTACTAGATAGCTCTAATGTCCCTGATTTTCACACTTTACCCTAACAGTGATTAAATCCAATACTTTTAGGCTATGAGACAATAAAACTGACCAATGAGTCACTATTTTTTTCCCACACGTTCCCAGTGGAACATAGGGCTTCAAGCTCGAGGCCTGAAGTTTCTGTAGCAGTGTTCATTTTTACAGGATAGGGTTGATAGCCTCACGCCCAACCTTTCCTCTTTACCAGCTTTTATTTCTGGCTTAGCGAGGTCTGAGAGTGCGTCAGTGGCCGGGGATCGAACCCCGGACCATGTGCATGGTCGCCGAGCATGCTAATCGTTATGCCACCGACGCACAATGAGTCACTTGGTTGTAATCTAATAGCTCATGAGTTTTAACGCCAGTCGATTTACCATCCCGTTTCATTGGTGAGTTTCTGTCCTCGCATCCGATTCGCCAGCACACTGTCCTCATAAACTGAAGTTCTTGGATTAAATTTTTCATGGATTTAAGGGTACATACCGCTGAAGAGTTTCACACTTGGATGAGATATCTATCTGGTGCTCTGTGGTTTTCAAAGGTTTTTTTAACTGAATTAGGTTTGTAGAGAAATTTAGCTCAAAATCAGTAGATTCCTAATGAATTTAACCCTTCAAAGTTATTCTTAAACAGGTTAGTCGAAAATAACATTCTATGTAAAGAATATTAAACTTGTCACAATAAAATACTTTCGGTATTAGAGTACATCGAGATTGGTTGAAGTATATTTTACAGTAATTAGCAGGTAAATTCCAGCTTCCTAAAGATACAGTGCATTTCATCTTAGATGTATCCAACTGATAGTGTCTTTTATTACAAGGTTATGTCATCGTCTAAATAAACGTTACAAGATGATGTTTCTATAGCTGTCAGTCACTGATAGGCTTGTAAATTTATACTAGACTGTACTTTGGGAAACTATGGGAAATAGTAAATCATTAATTCTGACATAAAACGAAAAAAATCTTCTAAATGAGCAAATCTAGAACAATTGACATCATGCTTTAACAATTGACAGTTCTGTCTACTGTGATAAGACTGTAATACACTACGCTGTGTAAGCCATTAGGAAATTTTTGTTTCTTGATTGGACACTAGTAATTAACTCGTGTGATATGCCTAGTCCTTTCTTTTGTGCAAAATGAACTCTGTGAGTCAGGTTTGCAATGTGGCCACCATTCCAGGTAGCTTGCCACCATAGTGCACATTGATTTGATGATATTTGATGATTGACCACTTTGCAAACTTGACTGATTAAATTCAAGTATTGGTTTTGTAGGGATTTTGTTTGATTGGAGGGAAGATTTCATCATGAGCTGACATCAATTACAGAACCATTGGAAAACCTGGAAAACCAATACTTGAAGATTAGTCTGATGCTCACTAGCTACCAGGCCCTATTCAGGCAGTGACCTGGGGTTCTAGTGGGAAGCCGTGACCAGTAGAATACAGCAGGTTGAAGATGAGGCATTAACTCATCGAAGAAGACATTGCGAAGTGGTAGCGCTATGTCGTAAATTGGCAGAAGTTAGAACTCCTGGGATGGCTATTGGATCGAGTCCCAGTGGCTCAATGGTCTACCAGCTCGCCTTGTAACCAGAAGGTCTTGGGTTGGAACCCCGATGGATGCGTACTGAAGAGTCCCGAAGATAGGAGGAAACAGCTGTCTATTAATCCATGGTTTTCCAGTGGTTCTCTAACTGATGTCAGCTCATGATAGAATTCAGTCTGCACCAAAGAAAAGACTAGGCACATCACACTAGTTAGTTACTAGTGTCCAATCAAAGTATCTATTATTATTATTATTTCCTTTAGTTCCTAGAGGAACATAGGGCTTCAGCCATGCGTCTCCATTGCGTTCGATTCTCTGCTAGAGTTTTCACCTGGCTCCAGGTCTGCCCACATGCTTTCATCTCCTCTTCACATGATCTCCTCCAGGTCACCCTTGGACGACCAACTCGCCGCTTCCCTTTCGGGTTCCACTCGAGGGCTTGTCTAGTGATGTCACTTGCTGGTTTCCTCAGAGTATGGCCAATCCATCTCCATTTTTTCCTGCCTATTTGTTTCACAATGGGTTCCTGGTTGGTTCGCTCCCAGAGATCTTTGTTGCTGATCCTTTCCGGCCATCTGATCTTGAGTATTGAGCGAAGACATCTGTTAATGAAGGTCTGTAGCTTGTTTGAGGTGCTCTTTGTGACACGCCAAGTCTCTGATCCGTATAGTAGTACTGACTTCACATTGGAGTTGAAAATCCCGATCTTATTTTTGACGCTGAATGATGTTGTCCTCCACACAGACTTCAGAGTAATGAAAGCTTGCCTTGCTTTCCCGATCCTTGCTTTGATATCCTCGTCAGTTCCTCCTGTAGTTGAAACAATGCTTCCCAAGTAGGTAAAGGAGGTAGTTTCTTTCAGGTTTTTTCCATTTATGCTGATTGCTGTCTGTTGTTGTTGTTGGTGTTGGCCAGGGATCTTCATCACCTCTGTTTTTTCTATGTTCACCTGGAGTCCTATCTTTGATGCTTCTTCTGCCAACTTGTTACTTTTCACTTGCATATCTTCCAGTTTGTGGGAAATCAGGCATATATCATCGGCGAAGTCCAGATCCTCCAAGTTCTTTGTGTGAGTCCATTTTATGCCTGTTTCCTCATTGCCCGCTGTTTGTCGCATTATCCAGTCTACTGCAATCAGGAAAATCATTGGCGATAGTAGGCAACCCTGTCTTACTCCTGTCTTCACTTCGAAGGATTCCGTGAGCTTCCCGTTGTGGATTACTTGGCATGCAGCGTTGTCATACAACTGTTGGATGAGATGTATAATTGTCGGCGGCACCCCGTAGTAGCGAAGTAGTTGCCAAATCACCTCTCGGTCGACGCTGTCGAAGGCCTTTTCAAAGTCGATGAAGTTGAGATAGATAGGTGACTGCCATTCCAAACTTTGTTCAATGATGATCCGTAGTGTGGCGATTTGATCAATACATGACTTGTTACTCCTGAATCCAGCTTGTTCTGGTCGAAGTTTTTCATCCAAGGCTTGTTTGATCCTTTCCAGGATGATGCGGCTTAGTATTTTGCTTGGGATGGAAAGGAGCATAATTCCGCGCCAGTTCTTGCATTGACTTAAGTCTCCTTTCTTTGGTAGTTTGAATAGGTATCCTTTCTTCCAATCCTCGGGTACTTTGCCTTCTTTCCACACTTTCTCTAGTAGTGGCGTCATCAAGTCTGCTGTTGTCTCTGGGTCGACTTTCAATGCTTCTGCTGGGATTCCATCTGGTCCTGCTGCTTTCTCAGCTTTCAGCATCTTGATTGCCTTCAGGACTTCTGATTTCGTCGGGGGGTTGATGTTCACTGGTAATTCTGCTTCCGTTGTTGGTATTGTTGGGCGCGTTGTAGGTGGCGGTCGGTTTAGTAGTCTTTTGAAGTGTTCAGCCCAGTGTTTCCTTTGCTCCACTTCTTTGGTGATTGACTTTCCATTTTCATCCTTCACTGGCTTAATTTGTGACGAATTTTTGCCTGAAAGGTACCTAGTTGTTTGGTGAAGTGTTGCGAGGTCTCCTTTGCCTGCAGCTTGTTCTGCTTCATTGGCCATGGCTTCATAATACTTTCTTTTGTCTTCTCTGGCACTCTTCTTTACTCCTTTGTTCAGTGTATTGTAGCTTACATTCAACTCCTGTTTCTGTTGCTCGTCGGTGCACTGCAGAATTTTTTGTTTCACCATCCTTCTCTCCTCTATTAGCCTCCAAGTGTCCGTAGTGAGCCACGGTTTGTCCTGTCTCTTCTTTCTGCCCAGAACTTCCATGCAGGTTTCGCTCCATACTGTTTTCAGGTTGTTCCAGTGTTTTTCGACGCTAACCTCTTCACTAATGTTGATTTGTGTCTCAGCTTTGTCCTTTATACTTGCAGTAAAGATATCCTTTGTATCCTGGTCCTTTAGTTTTTGAGTGTTGAACTTGGCTTGTGGTCTATCTGCAGCTCCTGTTTCTCTGAAAGCCTTTAATTTGAGTTGGATTGTTCCTTGTACGAGGTAGTGGTCTGAGCCAACGTCTGCTCTTCTTGCTTTTGTGTCCAGTAGGCTGCGCCGCCACTTCCTCGAGATTGTGATGAAGTCAATTTGGTTTTTGGTTCGCCCATCTGGTGACACCCATGTAGCCTTGTGAATATCCTTGTGTTTGTATACGCTGCCACCAATCACTAGTTCATTGAAGGCGCAGAAGTCGGCGAAGAGTTCTCCATTTTCATTCATCTCTCCCAGAGCTTCTTTACCCATGATGAGTTCCCTTCCTGTGTTGTCTGATCCCAGTTTGGCGTTCATGTCTCCCATTAGTATTTTGATGTCACCGGCTGGAGTATTGTCTATTGCTGCCTGCAGTTGTCTGTAGAATTCTTCTTTCTTTTCGAGGTCTGCGTTGTTGATCGGTGCATAGCATTGTATAATTGACACTTTCCTTCCTTTGGAGTTGAATCTGGCGGTTATTATCCTGGGTGAGATCGCCTCCCATTGTATCAGAGCCTTGGTTGCCGTTGGTGACATCATTATAGCCACGCCCTCGGTGTGTGTGTGGTTGTCTTCTGGGTGACCGGAGTAAATCACTGACTCACCTGTTGACAATTTGGTGAGTCCGTATCCGTTCCATCTGCTTTCGCAGATCCCCAATACTTGTAGTCCATATCTCCTCATTTCGCTTGCGATCTGGGCAGCTTTGCTAGTCTCGTACATGGTGCGGACATTCCATGTCCCCACACAGACTTTTTCTTTTGACGCAAGGAGACTGTTCACGCTGAAGTTTCTGTAGCAGGTTTGTTTACAGGGTGGGGTTGCTGGCCTCACGCCTAATCAAAGTATCTAATACAGTCCTACAGGCTGTCAACCGCGAGCCGGAATAGCTCAGTGGTAACTGCAGTAGTGGTTGACACCAGTTCGAATCTCAGAAGAGACTTAGTTTCCTTCAAGAACGCAGATACTCTGTGCTGACTGTTGAGTGCCAACACGCACTAAATCGAGGTCTAAAGTTTCCTAGCGATTGCCTCCAACCATCTAATATCATCAAATTTTTGTCCATTTTGAATTATATTGTTTTTCATCTTCTAATATTTTCATTCACTTCACAGACTTGTCAGTTCATATCGTACCTTATTCTGGCATTTATTTGGAAGTAGTCAAGGTGGTAACTTTGAAGTGACTTTTGTCAATAAGACGACTGGTGAACGTGAACGTATGGAATCGGCAAGAAATACAATGGTTGTAGGCGAAATTCTATTATTAATCTATCATGCAATGGCTATTATTGTTCTAGTCAATATGTTAATCGCTATGATGTCAAATTCTTTTCAAACAATTCAGGTAAGAATATATATTCATCTTTGTATATTACATAACATTTCGAGTACCTTATTGAGTATAAATCCTTGAAAAGAGTAATCAAACTAGTATTTTATAGGATTTGTGTGAATTTGGATAAATCTTAATTCCAACTTTTAGATTTTGCTACGAATCATAATTAGTTAGAAAGATAATTGCGAATCGAGGAGTTTTGGACTGCTGGTTCTTCCAATTTTGGGACTCTTCCTCGGTGCTTACCCATGACCCCACCAGAGATAGTACTATGAACAGTCAGGTCATGAGGCCAAGCCCGTTGACCACTTAACTAACTGGGTTGGAATTCAATGACTGGAGAATTCTAACTTTATAAATTCATAAAACAACTCTACCCTCACCAATGGCTTCAATGAGCGTCCACTTCATCTTGTCATGGTAGATCCAGTTGGTCACGACTTCCAACTACATCTTCAGGACATCCAGCCAGTAGCTATCAGTGAACTGGAGATTGGTATTTAGATTACTAGTCCTTGAATTCCTGCTCAAGTGACTGAATGGTAGACGAGTCGCGCTACATCGCAAATCGGCAGAATTCAAAATTGACGAGCCACTGGATTTCGTCCCACTGGTTAAGTGGTCAGCCGGACAGCCTTGTAACCTGAAAGCCCTGGGTTAGATCTCTGATAGGGTGTGGCGTACGTATTGGTGAAGAGTCCCAGACAAGAACGAAACAGTAATGTCCAGTGTTCCTCTAGCTGAAGTCAATTCATGATCAAAATCGAAATTCCGATGTGATAAAAACAGATTAGCTCTCAGTACCTGAACACTAATCCAACTTGGCAGAAGAAGCACAAAAGATAGGACTTCAGGTGAACATAGAGAAAACAGAGGTGATGAAAATTCCTGGGCAACACCACCAACAGCAGCAACAACAACAGTCAACGATCAGCATTAATGGGAGGAACCTGAAAGAAACAACCTCTTTTACCTACCTACCTGGGAAGCATCGTCTCAACTACAGGCGAAAGAAACTGACGAGGATATCAAAGCAAGAATCAGAAAAGCAAGACAAGCTTTCACTACTCTCAAGTCTGTGTGGAGGTCAACACCACTCAACATCAAAAATAGATCCGGATTTTCAACTCCAATGTGAAGTCAGTGCTACTATACGGATCAGAGACTTGCACTGCGCGTCATAAAGAGCATCTCAAACAAACTACAGACCTTCATTAACAGTTGTCTTCGCTCAATACTCAAGATCAGATGGCCAGAAAAGATCAGCAACAGAGAGGGAACTCTGGCAATGAGCGAACCAATCTAGCAGGGACCGATTGTGAAACAAATAGGTAGGAAGAAATGGAGATGGATTGGCTGGTCATACTCTTGGGAAACCATCAAGTGACATCACTAGACAAGCCATTGATCCAGTGGAACCCGAAAGGGAAGCGGCGAGTTGGTCGTTAGTGCAAGGGTGACTTGGAGGAGGTGATGTGAAGAGGAGATGAAAACGTGTGGGCAGACTTGGAGCCAGATGAAGAGTCTAGAAGAGGACCGAACTCAATGGAGACGCGTTGCTGAAGCCCTATGTTCCCCTAGGAATTAAAGGAAACAATAATAATAATAATCCAACTTCAATCATGCTTCAGTTCTGATTCTATTGGAGGTGAAATATGTCGTAGAATAATAGTGGACATCTCTACCTCAGCAACTAAGCATGTAATTTCTTTCCGAAAAGCTCTCTGATAAATAATGACTCTTTCATTAAAGCTTACTAGAATGAATTGATTTTCCTCACCGAAAAAATTGCGCGAAGACTCTAGAAGAGAACAACAATATTCAAGTTTTGACTAAATGAAAATACCTGCCTTATTCCCCGCCTACTTTACTGAACTAAACTATGACAGTTTATCAGTGTAGGGAAAGTATTCAGGCTTATTCCACCACTTATTTCGATATTTACTAATCTTCATTTAGAAGTGAATTGTAAAAAGAAAGGTGAAAATAAACGGATAAGATGGTTGGAAAACTCTTCAGTTTCTCCTCTATCATTTTCTCTACTTCTCTTTTTATTCCTCAATTAGCCAAAACGGTTACATCTTTTCTCTTGTATTTGGAATGAAAAGTGTGGCTACATCACAGACTAGAGCAGTACTGTACAATATGCGCTTATGTATAAAGAGTGGGAGAGTTTCATTATGGCTTATGATGCATTTACGCATACGCACAATATATACACATACATAGGCATAATTCTATTCCCATGGGAGTCATCTTTTTTTGTGTAAGATGAAATGCAACTAGTAAAAGAGGTTTTGGATAGAAGAAGAAAAAAACATTTCAAAAACAAACCTACTACTTTACTATTGTAAAGTAGAATAAGAAATTTTACCATTTACTAGGTTGATTATTGTACTACTAATTAGGCAAAGAATTATTGCTCAAGCGCCAATTGAGTTATCTATTGTAACTCATTTTATCAATTATGCTGTCAGTGTGAAGTTCTCCCTCGGTGGTAATAGAGGACTGTCAATTTAGAGCAGTAAACATAAAATTATCTTTTGTTTGATGTTCACTTGCCATATGTTAAAATCTGAAGGGACGTTTGTTCATCTTGAAATCAAATGAGTATGATGAGTAACCACAACTCACAATACTTTATGTGAGTATGCTAAGATCAGAATTGGAAAGGTAAAGAAAACTCTCATCATTATTATATGTGTGTAAAACTTGGTCACTGTGGTAGTAAGTAATTCCATGCATGTCAGACATGCGCAAAACAACACCAACAATAAGGAATCTAAATCATCAGTAGTAATTCCATACAAGGAAGGAACCTCGGAAACCACCTTACGCAGAATTCTTAACAAGGCAGGAATAAAAGTGGCTAGCGTTCAGACCACCCACAAACTCCAGTAGAAACAGGCTTTGTCGGTTAAAGGATCAGTCCTGTGGAGCCTTTAAAACAAAACAATTTAGTTTATCTAATACCCTGTCTGCAATGATTGTCGGGTCAAATACATAGGTTAAAGTAGCATAACGGGGTCAGTCAGACTGGCGGAACATAAAAACCTGGCAAAATCTAGATTAGTAGGCCCGAATTAGATAAGAAATCTACAGAATAGTTCAGCTATGCCACTCACCACATGCAATTACGCACAACCATACAATAGGATGGGATAGGATGACAGTTTTAAAATCTAATGTCACAGGGTGGAGAGAGAGATTGATAACAGAAGCTTTGTTTATCGAATCAACTGAAAAGAATACGTGTAATAGGAATGATTCAACACCTGTCCCGGCCGGGTATCTAGAAAATTCTACTACCCCAACGACGACAAATAAGAGAGAACAAAGAAAACTATAAAACTCAAGCTTCGAAGTCATGTGATTATAATTGATGAAATGATTATGAACAATAAACTGTGTTCGAAAGCTTGTCATCCAGTCAATAATAATACTGTTTCACTGTGTGATACATCTAATAAACAAACCAATATGAAAAACTGTCATCAATCTAAAATCAGTCCGCAAATCTTCTCCAGATTTCCGACGCCAATGTCAAGTGAGTTCTTCTATATATGGATCAGAAACTTGTCGTGTTGTGTAAAGCATTTCCTCGAGGCTTCAAACTTTTATCAACAGCTGCCTTCACTGGCTCCATATTGAAGATCAGTTGGCCAGAAATAATCAGCAACAAGGAATTCTGGGATCGAATCAATCAAGAACCTTTTGTCCAACAAATATTTCAAATAAAATGGGGATGTCTTGGATATACGGTGAGCAGACCGTTGAGTGAGATCATGCGGTGGGCCATCACTCTAGTGGAAACTAGATACGAAACGAAAATGTGTAGCTCCGTGGGTGACATGGAGGAGATCGTGTGAGGAGGGGACGGGATACTACAGTCAAACGTGGGGTCACCTAAAGAAGACTACAGAGAACAGAACAAAATTGAGATGTACAGTTGATGCCCCATGTTCCATTTGGAACCACAGGGAATAATAATAAAATACTTTATGTACAAGAGGGTCTCTGAATAGCATACCAGATTAATTTAAGGAATCTGGAATTAGGTTAGGTTTGTTATCATATCTGTTGGCAAAATTGAATGAATAGGTATTGAATAATGCGACTTGTACATCAAGCGGCTTAAATTACCTCATAAAGCTGCAATAAATGTTTTCAGATATGTTTGACAAAAGCAGTGTGTCGTTAGTTCAGTGGCAAAATGCTTATCAGTCATCTAGGAGGTCCAGTTCCTTGCCTACGAACTCTCGAAAATACTTTCTCTAGTTTACTAGCCGGCAGTAAGGCTGTGGTTACTTACATTTTACACTGTATAGATTATTAAGGATGATATGGTTTAGGCCTACACAAAATCGCAAGAAACTATTCGGCCAGCAAGTAAAAAACAAGCCGTCGCATTAAGCAAAATCAACATGCATTCGCCAGCTCATTTGCTCGTACAGAGCTGAATACATTGGCGATTCCATGAGTCCACTTGTAGAACACGCTAGGGAACACTATCTAGCTAGTAAATGGGGAACGTAGGTGTGTCTATGTAGCTCGGTAACAGAACATCTGTTGAACTCAGGACACTCAGCTCCATTTGAAAAGTCTTTCAAATTCCTATAAAAGATCCAATCAGACCTCGCATACGGAGTGAGATCAAGACATTTAGACGTGGCTGTGTCACTAGTCACTCAAAAATTCAAACCAACGCCATCTATTCAGAAGAAATACGTCCAACTTTTGTCTATATCACGGCCATCATAAATAGTCAATTCTCTCAATAATCATTATCCAATTACATTTTCATATCCAAACCTCCTGTTTGTTTTGTTGTCATTATTACGTTTTTGATTCCTTTTTGTAACTTTGTGATTTGTTAGAATTTTATCCTTGACCTGAAATAGCTCTGGAAATTCCTCACCCCTTTACTATGCATACATGAATGTACAGACTTGTTGATGATTTTGTAGAAAAGTAATTTCCTTTGCTACAAACGTATTTTTAATTTTTCCTATACATAAGCCCTTTGATTTGTTGTAAAGTCAATGATTCAGTCTTCCTTTAGAACGAATTCCATCTGAGAAATGAACTTCTAGACGTTCAGGACTTTACTATGCTTTACCAACTTTAAGGCGACGTCCTTGCAAGCTGGTCGATTTTACTGAATATTAATTTTTTAGTATTTTCCAATAGTAATTTGATTGAACACTAGTTAGTAACTAGTATCATGCATCTAGCCCTTTGTTTGGTTAAGACTGGGTTCTATTGGTCAAATTTGCAATGTAGCCACCGTGCTAGATGGCTCTTCATCGTGGCGCTTTGTGAATATTTACTCCTAGATGGTTGGAGTCAGTCTGCAGAAAGCCCCGTTTGACCACGGTTCCCTGCTTGTTGGTACACATCAGCAAGGCATATCTTCAGTCTTGAAGGAACTCGTGTCCCTCCTGAGATTCGAACCCTTGTCACTCAGTGATGGATTCAGGAAATTGACCACGAGCCCGAAAAGCTCAGTGGTAACGTCTCTGACTGCAACACTGTGTTATGCGGGTTCGAATCTCACGAGGGATATGAGTTCCTTCAATGTGGTAGATACAGCTTACTGACGAGTTCCAGTAACAAGTATGAGACCGTAGTCAAACGAGAATTCTCGCCGACTGACTCCAACCATCTAATTTTCCAACAGTTTTAGTATTGTAAACAATATTACTATTAGTCATATTTTTCCATCTTGAAGATACTCAGATTACATTACATATTTCATTATAGAATCATGCAGACACCGAATGGAAATTTGCAAGAAGTAAACTATGGGTTGGTTATTTTGATGAAGGTTCAACGCTTCCTCCACCGTTGAATACAATTATTAGCCCGAAGTCAATTATTCGATTTTTATGCGGAATATACCACTTGATTGTTCTCCTGATAAAATCATGTCGAAATTGTAAACTACAAACCAGTGATAGTAATCACAGTGGGGGTAATCATAGACAAAATATAGAATTTCGTAAAGAGACAAAATTAAGCTCTATGAATAGTCAATCTAGCCAAAAATCAAGTCAACTTGAATGGGATATTGAAATACAAGAGACAGGTACAACCCGGGAAACACTTCCAAATACAAATATAATGAATAAACAGAAACAGGTAAGATTACTTCTTCTTTTTTTTAAAATTTTAATTTCAGTTGTTAGATTTTGTCATGAACCAACCAGACAACACCAGGGAGCACTGGACAGCTCTCTCTGTCGCCCTATTTCGGGACTCTTCATCAGTGCGCACCTATCATTCCATCAGGGATAAAATCCAGGACTGTCAGGGTACAAGATGAAGGTGTTGACCATTCAGACTGACTAGAGGATATAGTTACCCAATATTCTAGTGGGGAGCCTTGACCAGTGGGGCCCACTAAGCTGGGCATGAGAACAAACACCGATGACACTGGCTGGCGGTCGCGTTGTATATGCCGCAAGTTGGCAGAAGTTAGAATTCATGGACCATTGGGTTCCGGCCAAGTGGCTGATTGGCATACTGGCCTGTCTTCAAACATGAAGGTTTCGGGTTCGAATCCTGGTAGGGTCATAGGTGTGTACTGATGAAGAGTCCCAAGCGGGGACGAAACAGCCCTCCAGTGAACCCTTATCTTCTAATGATCTCTACAACTGATGATGTTTCGTGATGAATTCTAAGAAATGATATACTATTAATAAGTAGATGACATTTGGAGTACAACTTATATTCACCCGACATCATAATCTGCTTTATATAACCTTAATCTCCATTGTTTTTTTAGCGTAGTCTTTCATATATCTGGTACAGGGTTTGATTCATCCCACTCAAAATCAGTAAAGATAGATTTAATTAACTGTTTATATAATCGACCCAGGAGCTTAACTAGTAAATCAGAAGATTTTAATAATGAAATCAAACAAATAAGGAAAACATCACTAGGGAACAACAACTCCTCACCAGACTTTATTCAAATATGTATCAAGACCCATAAGAAAAATAAAAGTAGTAATGAAAATACTGCAAACAGTGAGGAATTCAAAGCCTCGACAGTGTACTACCATATAAAGAAGGAAAATCAGAAGTCCTATGTGAGATTCTTAATAAAGCTGCAATTAAGATGGCATTTAAACGAACCAGTTCACTTAGATGCAAGGAGCTGTTAGATCTAATTAAAAAATTAGTTAATTTTATGTACCAAATGCCGTGTAGTGACTGTGGATTGATTGCATCGGTCAAACTAGTAGATCGGTGACAATTAGGCCATCAGAACATAAGAATTTATCTACAGCTCGAATAATTTCAAGAAAGGCGTTGCCGCTGAAATGCATTCCTTTTCATGTCATATCCACAGACAATATCCAGCAGACTAGCTGCGTCTCCACTTCCTTGAACAGCATTTAGTATGAAGTCTATTTGGTTGGTGGTATGTCTGTCAGGCGAAATCCATGTTGCTGGCCTTGCGTATATTCCTTGTGTGTGCACTCGCTCCTTCCGATCACCAAATCGTTGAAAGCTCAGAAGTCTGCGGACAGTTCTCCGTTCTCATTCATTTCCCCAAGCGAGAGCCTCTCAACTCATGATGAGTTCTCTTCCTGTATTATGTGATCCCAGTTCAGCTGGCATTCATATCGCTCATAAGGATTTTGATGTCACCATTTGGGATGTTGTTCATTATTAATTTTAGTTGTCTGTAAAAGTCCCCCTACTCTTCTTGTTCCGCGTTGTTCGTAGCATCGGATAATTGTTACTCTCCTTCCTTATGAGTTGAGTCTTGCTGTCATGATCCTGGATGAGTAGATTTGTTCCCACTACATTAGAGTTTGGCTGCCACTGGTACCATCATGATGGCTGCTCGCTGCTTCAGTGTGTTCGTGGTTGTCGTCTAGGTGACCGGACCGGAGTAGATTATTGACTCTTCCGTTGACAGTGTTGTCAATCCACATCCATTCTACCTGCTTTCACAAGTACCCAGTACATCTAAGCCATATTTTCGCATCTCTTTGGCTAGCTTGGTAGTCTTCTCAGTCTCGTACATTGTACGGACATTCCACGTACCCATTCCTACCCTTGCTTTCGTCGAGAGAAGATACATCGGCTGGCTGACTGGCTTCCCGAAGGCCGGCTTTCATCATCCCGCTGTGTCATTTCGTCTCCCCGATTCGAGCAAAGAATAAGATTGTTGTTATTTGGAGTTTTTGCATTTATAATGTGTTTTCTGTGTGTTGAAGTTTCTCTAGCAGTTTGAAAGATTTAGTGGTGTGGGGTTGCTAGCCACAGGCCCTACCCTCCCTCTTTACCCGGGCTTGAGACCGATTAGAAAACTAGCGAGCTAGTCAACTAGGCGAGGTTCAATAGTAGATAGTTTTATACAACTATTTTATCCGCTATGAATGTTAATCCTACAGAATCGGAATAAAATAAGAAGCTATTCAAATTATCACACTCGAATTTCATTCACTTAATCTAAACGTTAAAGCATAAAGCGTACTTTTTTATTTAACGCTAAAATAATAAACTAGAAAAAAAAACCAGAGAACATTTGTAGCTAAAGCTAATGACAGTGTAATTGTCTACTGACTTCACAGTCTTGCTGCATAATAGATTTCACTTCTACTTCACGTCTTCTATTCAACTATCTATCAAAAATATATTGTAAAATACTTCTAAGTGAATAGTTCTCAGTCAATCAGTCAGTCAGTCAGTCGAAATTTCTCATTTCATCATTGTCTCCTTCTCATCATCATACCATCAGACAGTTTGTCTGGTAAAATAAAATAATTAATCAAGTGGCAATTCAACTATCCACTTTTTTTACTCTATTATTTCTCCTCTTACAATACTCAGGGTAGGTATTACGCCCCCCCTCCCGGCCTCCAAAGTTGAGTAATAAAGACTACTACTGTTACGAGCAGTAGTAGTAAGAGGAGGAAGAGTAGAAGTACTGTCGACGTGGAAGACGACAACGATAACAACAACAGTCTCCAGTAAATTCAAGAGAAAAAACACTTAAGTATAAGGTACACTTATGGGGATATATATAAGCCAAATACATATATATATATGCTTACTAAGGAAATTAAATTAACATTCTGACAAAAGATTGTAAGACTTTTCACCATCACTTTCATTATTTGACCACGTGGTGATGTAATACCATTCATATTCTTTATTCATTCATTCATTTAATCCAAGAAATATTCTCCCTTCATTTATTTTTCGATATCTGATAGAGTGATCATTGAATTAAGTGAGTAAGTAAGTAAGCAGGTAAGTGAGGAATGAATGAAGGAAGGAACGGAGAGAGAGAGATAGAAGTAAAACTTGAGTGTTGAGTTAAATTACCCACTGAATAGCTTTCATTTGTATTATTATTACTACTATTACTACTGCTACAATATTTAAGGTAGACTTTTCAATTTCTACTTCAATTTTTTGTCCGTATATATTTAGATATTATAATAATTTAATGTACTCAGACAGTCGGTTTTACTAATTGAATGAACTCAAACATTTATTAGTTTTATAAAAAAACAGAGGGAAGGATAGACAGAGATAGAAAGAGGGAGAAAAGAAGATCAGTATTCATTTTTTTTACGAGTTCAACCACGGATTGATGTCAGTTAGAGAAACATTGAAACCACCAGGGAGTACTGCTAGACAGCTGTTTCTGCCTCCTAGTTTAGGAATCATCTGCAGTACGCACCCACCAACGTGGTTCGAATCCAGGACCCTCTGGTTACAAGGCAAGCTCGTATACCATTCAGCCACTGGGACCCGATTCAATGGCCAGCCCATGAATTCTAACTTCTGTTAATTCGTGATTTAGCGCGACCACCAATCAATGTCATCGGTAGGAAATCCATCCTCACACTTAACTTAACTCCCTGGTTTTCAAAAGCTCTCTAACTGATATCAACCCGTGGTCAAACTCGTAAAACTAAATTTAATCCTGACAAACCAACTCTTGAAAATTTTTTTTGATAGAATACTTAAATGAGTAGAAGAAGGCAAAGTTGTGTTCCTAAAAGTGATTCAGCATTATAGCTCGAGGAGCGTACTAATTAAATAACATAAGATAAACGTTAGAATGATTACTATTTTTACTAAATCACTCCAGTTGGAGAACCATTGTGATGTCAGTTGAAATCAATCAAACCCTTGCAAATCAGTATTTGAAAATTAATCTACCAATCACTAGTAACTGATAACCGGATGAAGGTATCAGGAGTTCTAGTGAGAAATCGTTATTAGTAGAGTCTAACAGTCTGGGAGTGAGAAGAATTACTCACCGATGAATTATTGGCTGGTGATTGTGTTTTAAATCTTGAGTTTTATAGCAGATTAATGTTAGTTATGGAACCATTGAGAGCCAAGTAGTACTGGACAGCTGTATCCATTCTTGCAACAAGCTACTGGACATATCAACCCTGAGACCTGATTCATTCGTAAGCCCATGAATTCCAACTCCTATCAATTCCTAATTTTAGCATGACAGTGGGAAACGAGAAGACAGGGATATCCTGGACCTAGATTTCGCGGATGATTTATGTTTGATGTCACACAAAATCGAAGAATTACAAGCGAAAACCCACAAACTGGTCGAAGAAGCAGCAAAGACATAGACAAGACGGAGGTTATGAAAATAACCAACCAACAACAACAACGTTGAGCGCCAATCACCATCAACGGGAGGAATTTGAAAGAGATTACTTCATTCACTTATCTAGGGAGCATTGTCTCAACTACAGCAGGAACGGACGAGGATGTCAAATCGAGAATCGGGAAGGCGAGAAACACATTCATCAACCTGAAACCAATCTGGAAATCTTCGTCACTCAACAACATCAACAACAACAAAATTCGGATTTTCAATACAAACATCAAGTCAGTCAGTTCTTCTATACGGATCAGAAACTTGGCGGCGGGTCTCAAAGAATATTTCCAACAGCCTGTTGTAGACCTTTATCAACAACTGTCTTCGTTCTATACTGAAGATCAGATGGCCGGAAAGAATCACAAACAAGAAACTATGGGAAGAAACAAAACAAGAACCAATCACCCAACAAATATGCAGGAGAAAGTGGAGATGGATTGGACACTCACTGAGGAGGCCGTCGAGTGACATCGCGCATCAGGCCAGTGTTCGAGTGGAACCCGAAAGGGAAGCAGCGAGTGGGACGTCCAAGGGTTACATCGAGGAGATCGTGTGGAGAGGAATTGAAACAGTACGGATTATCATGGACGCAGGTGAAAAGTACAGCAAAAGACAGAAGCAAGTGGAGACGTGCAGTTGAAGCCCTATGTTCCACTAGGAACCCAAGGGAACAATAATAATAATACTTACCAATGCCATCAGAGAGTATTTGTCCTCATGGACTATCTGGTGGAGCTCACTGCTCATAATGACTCTCATCACTAGAGTCTGAGGTAAATTCATCCTGTGCCCAGTCACTAGAGAGAATTACATTACTTTCAAGAGTTTCTTCGTATGGATTTGATCTATTTAAAGTTCGATCACAGATTGATGTCAGTTAGACAATCATTAAAAACCAGTGCTGGAGTACTGAACAGAACTTAAAATTCATAGGACATGAAATATAACGGAAGGATAGGTATTTTAAACTTCATATCTCCTTATCTGATATTATACTTATGTTAGATTTTGTTCCTCAGTATTCCGAGTAAAAATTAGGGCTTCAAGCTTGAGCTCTGAAGGTTAAGTTATGGTACAGTTGTTCTTTTATGGAGTGGGTTTCTTAGCCTTGCGCTTAATCCCACTTCATTAGTAGCTTACTACCGGCCAAGTGAGGTTTAGGTGTCTGTCAATCGGGGACTAGTTTCCTTTGGAAGCGATGTGATCTGAAGGAGTGGTTGTATACCAATTATATGAACGAACATTGGTAGCTAGCCAATCAGGTAGATGTGATACAAACATCTAACGGCTGTTTATCCCGTTCGAGGTTGTGCTCATCAGCGATGTACCTCGTTTGATGGAGCTCATGTAGCCTAATCATTTGAAACCACCAGACTTCTGGTGAGTGACTTGGGTGAGACAGTAATACCATAAGCCTAGTTAGCAATTTACACGGACCAAAGTGATTCTTCCGCCATATTTTCCTTTGGAAACTGTGATTATTCAGATGACAATGCAAGTGATCTGCTTGATACCATAAATGATAATCAAGAAAGCGAGAGTAAAAGTGCGAATGTCCGACTGACTGACTGACTGGTTGGTTTCACCACAGAACTTTGCACTGATCTGCAGCAGTTCAAGTCACCACACTCCATGTAGCACACAAAGCAAGAGAAGAGAGTAAAAAGAAACGCAAAATAGAGACAGTAAACAGAGATATGTGGCAAAAGGAATAGTAATATCGAAGAACAATATAGTTTTATTCGATATCATAAGTCACAAGGAGTGGATGCATCTGCACCAACCACTGAGAACGATTTTGAACCAGCCAAATCAAAAGTTGTCTCCAGTCTTCTTTGGTTTTTACTATCCCGAGGATCCCAACCAGTCAGGAAGTTTTCAACTCCCTACGTGGCTTAAACGAATTGTTGTGGATTTCATTGACTGAGGAAGCCATGTTTTGCTTTGAATGTCTTTACTACTCAACTCAATCAGTAGTATATACTTTTAAGTGTGAACCTGGAGCATATGTGGCATGGTTGGCGAGCATTCTACCACCGAACAAACGACATATCTCCACTTGATATTCAGTTTCTTTCTTTCAGCCTTAAGAATAATGCTGACACAATTTTCAAAAGATAGTTGCAATCAGTTTTACTTCTATTTTTTCTGAGATTAAAAGTAATATAGTGTTTCGATAGAAAATAATTCCTCAAATATTTGTTTTTATTTTTCTGAACTACTTCTTTTAGCATTCCATGAAAGAAATCAAGCAGAGCAAACGAAAAACTTACTATCAGGTTAGAGAATTAATTATCACTGACGATTTTTATATACATTGAATTTTTGATGTGGTGTATAATGCAACTATTATTATTATTATATATGTACACACTTTCTGAGTGTGAGTTATGCTGGCAAACCATTCAACTGGATTCAGGACCAGTTTATGAGATGAGTGTATTGAAAATCAGTGAAATAGTTTTTATTATCTATGCACCCACGTATATCGTAACTAAATTCTCTATTAGTTACAGCTGAACAGTTCACTTTCTAGACTTTCGTTGTCCTTGCTATAAGAAGAGAACTTAAGCACTACCGTAGAGTATAATTTCATCATAGAATAAATTTGTTTGATAAGAAACCGCATATCGACAATGTTCCGAGCACAATTCTATTGCTCATAATCATATGGGTATCAAGATGTTCAGATAACTTTCAAACTTTGCTCAGACTAATTCAATGACTTCTTATCCTTCAATTTTATTAGTAGTAATAATATTTGCTATATCTCTACCATCGGCGCTGTTTCATTCGTATTACATGTGTTAGATGCAAATTCGATGGACAAAGATTCATTAATTAACCTCTCTCCACCTATCTATGTCAATTTTCGATAATTACAGCTCTGGTTCCATCCCGCTGTCTGATATTTTGTTACTGCAAGCATTGCGATTTATGGGTTTTTCATTAAGCTATTCGTCTTCATGGGATTAATCATTCTACAATCAGCTAAGTTCGTATCTCCCGATAATTTGATTACCGCTGATCTACTAATCTGACCGCACAGTTATTAAGAGGTATTATATAGATTATATTACTTTGTCAGATTGGATTACTTGCTGCTGCAAGTGCAGATGAATTGGTAAATGTAGTTGGAGTTGACATAAGCAGGATTCTTATCTACTTTTAACACTAAATAATTGTCCACTTACATCATCTCTGAAATTATGTTGCTTATACTTCCTATCTATAACCTGAAGTCAGTGTAAATAGTATGTTCAGATGCTATGTTGTAATATACAATTGACTGAGAAGTTAATTGGTGGGTGGTGACTAGCAGTGGAATCCAGGATGTACGTTTCGTCCTATTTGGGACTTGTCATCTGAATGTACCTGCATTCTCACCGAGGCTTCAACCCAAAGCCCTCAGTTTCAAACGCCAAAGAGTTATCCACTAGACCACTTGGGCCATGACAGCCACCTCTTGTGCGACGAGTCCCAAGTAGGACGAAATGTGCATCCTGGATTCCACTGCTAGTCACCATCCACCAATCAACTTCGAATTACATGCTAAGACATCGTCACAGGAAGCATCTGCATAAGTAACCGACATGTCAACCTGAAACCGAGTACTTCAGTCCAATCAACCAACGGTAAAATCTAAAATCGAATTAGATATAATTGATTTGTTGGAGGATGTACGCAAATGAAGAGAATCTACGCAATAAAACGAGCTCATATTATCCTGCAAATATGTTCTTTCTTTCTTTCTTTATTATATATGTATCGCTTAAAATGTATCTTACGATATTTCCGTTCAAATATTATGAACATTTATATTCCTTTGAAAGTCTTAAAATCAAAGCTGTAAACTTCGAAAGCTCATGTTTCGGTGTTTCAGTGTTATAAAACTCGCTAACCACACACGTGGTGCGGGTTTGACGTCCAACTGATGCACTCCTAACCCTTGCCTACCGGGTGGTAAGCCCAATAAAGACTAAGGGTTAGGGGGGGCGCAAAGCAGGCAAGCATATCTTCTGAAAAAAACACAATATGACCGATACTGAAACTAAAAGGCTTCAAGCCTAGGGCCCTATGTTCCAGAACTTGGAAGTAACATTTCATAGTCTGTTCATAAATTATTCATGAAATTTTTGTTATTGATTTTTGATGACACCAAAAACTCTGAGACACTATCCTGACTAAAAGTATAAAGCATCGACTAACTAGCAAGCAATCTGTTTACTATGCAATGTAATCACGACAGCAGTAGAAATGGTGTTTTTTTTGACAAAAAATAATAATTAACTAATTAACTTAAAATGGAACAGTTTATATTTTACGCTAAACTTAAAACTTATCAGCAGGCGTCTGATGACGTCATTTTATTTTTGATGATTCAAATTTATTACAAAACTGCTAGACAGGTGCTCAAATTGATACGTATTATTGTTATTGTGTCTAGTCTTGGTTTATTTGTTAGAAGTTTACGCTTATTGTTATCCCTTTATTGCATCAAAGGGATTTTTATTCCTTCACGTTCCCAGTGGAACATGGGGCTTCAAGCTAGAGTCATGAAGTTTCTGTAGCAGTGTTTATTTTTACAGGATGTGGTTGCTGGCCTCATACCCAACCTTTCTTCTTCACCAATCTTATCAGTGGCTTAGAGAGGTAAAGGAGTGCGCCGGCCGGGGATCAAACCCCGGACCATTTGCATGGTCGGCGAGTGTCCAAACCGCTATGCCACCGACGCACATCAAAAAGATTAAACTAAGTGAAATAAATAATTTACAGGAAACTTTATTCTCATACAAGTAATTAGGAATATTATTCTACTATTTATTCCAATATAACTGTTATTTTTGCATCCTTGGGTTTTCAGCAGTACATCACTAATGTACTGTGTTCTCTGATATCATTCTCAGATGTCCGCTTCCTCCCCCCCCGTCAACTGCCTATTAACTTTCATTTTCTTCTGCTCCTCGTGTGACCTCCTCTATATCACACTCCCATGCGTGAGCAGTCGGTCACATCCCATATGGGTTCCACTCCAGGATCTGTCTAGTGTGTTGTATCACTTGAATGTCTCCTCAAGTCTGTGAATTATACAGAAGCACAGACAGATTTTATTATTTGTGTTGGAAATTCACTCTTTTGCTTGTACTTATTGCGGATCTTAGTGGTCACCATCTTCTCCGGTGTTTTCAGCTGTAACTTTACTTCAAATTAGAGAAATGTTTAAAGTCAGGGAGTAACAGACAGCTGTTTCATCGTGGCTCGGGACTATTCAGGAATATGTGCCAACCGGAATTCAGACCCAGGAGCTTTCGTTTACAAGTCAAGCCGCTTGACCATTCAGTCACTGAAACTCGATTCAATCAGCACAACCACTAACCATATTTGAAGACATCAAATTCACAAGAGAAGAAGAATAAGATAACAAAATCCTGTTTTTAGGTGTCTTAATCAGGAGAACCAACACAGGAAATATAGAAACACAAGTATATAGAAAATCAACGCACACAGATCAAATACTTAACTATACTAGCAATAATCCAATTACTCACAAACGAAAATGTGTGCAGACATTGTTTAAAAGAGTTCAAACACATTGTAGCACTCCAGAGTTGAAAGGAATGGAAGAAAAATACTTACAAACGGTCTTCAAAAAGAATAGTTATCCACAAAATTTCATCAAAAAGTGTTTAATGTCGAAAAAAAAACACCAACAAGGAACCATCATCAAAGACCACAAGAAAATTCATCATACCATACATGAGAAATATCTCTGAAATAACAGCTAGAATACTGAAACCATTAGATATAGATATAGCACACAAGCCAGTAAATTGCTTAATTCGATATTATGCAAACCGAAAGACCCAACAGAAAAAGGAAATAAAATTAATACCATTTACAAAATAAATTTTATGGACTGCAACAAGCATTACATCGGCCAAAGTGGGCGTCCCCTTCGAATTAGAATACAAGAACACAAATCAACTGTGAAAAGACACGATATATATTCTTTCATATCAATGCATGTAGATATAATTATGGACATCAATTTGATTGGGATAATGTCGAAATCTAAGACAGAGGAAACACGAAAAGTGCCAGAGAATTCCTAGAAGCCTGGTACTCAAACGAAAATGCAATTAACAAACACGTTTATATACATGAAATATACCAACTAATAAAAAGTAAATCAGGTGACCAGAAAGTTTAAAATCCAAGTCCATAGAAAATGGTCAATACACGTGTAAAGATGGTTACCAGGAGACGGACGCAATTATATCACTCATGAAGAAATTTAAATCATTTCACTTTATGCCAAATATTGTGGTGAAGATGTCGTCCAGAAGGACGACGAAAGCTCCGCAACTAAACCAACCAGCTCGGAGAACACTAATAATTGCAATCCGATGTCATCAGTGAGTATTTCTCCTCACGCACTAACTGGTGAAATCCAGTGTTCATCATGACCTCTCACTAGAACCCAAGGTAACATTATCTTGTAATCAGACACTCGTGGGCATCAAATTAATTTTCACGAGTTAATTAGTGCAGGAGGTGCTGGATTCCAACGCCGATGGGTACATACTGACGAAGAGCCTTAGACTGGGACAAAATAGCTGTCCGGTAACCCCTAGCCTTTAAAAGTTTCCTAATTGACATCCCTACGTGATCACATTTGAAGTACATTAAATCCCTCCAAAGACACTCTTGAAAATTGAACTGATGCTCTCCAGTGACTGGCTACTGGACGAAATTGACTGAAGTTCTAATGAGAACTCGTGACCAGTGAGATCTACCAAAGTGGTTGTGAAGATTAATACCTACCGATGAAATCTGCTGGTAGTCGCGGTAAAATTAGGAAATGGTAGAAGCTGGAATTCATGGGCTGGCCGTTAAATCGGGAGCTAGTGGTTAAATGGTTGCCTTGATTCTCTACTAATTTGTGTCAGACTATTATTTGTATTATTTCTTGCAGTACTCATTAATCTTTTGTCTATTCTAACTAACACAGTACCTCTATTACCAATATGTAATCTTTCCCTCAGTTTGAATAAAATATTCTAATTACCAATATTTAAAGCAATTAGTTCCCTTTATGAATTTGGATAAAGCAATTAGAAGACGTAATTTGTCTGAATGTGTGCGTAATGTATTTGCGCAACACACATTTCGAACAATCTGATCACACACGGACTTGTCATAGGAATATATATGGAATTAATAAAGAGGTAAGAGGTGAGAAAATAGACTTCTTAGGTCAAGTTAAAAGGACATATTC